CCCACTCACAGCCTGAGCTTCTCCTCGGCGTGGGCCTTGAGCGCCTGGTAGCGCTGGGCCTCCTTCTCCACGCGCGCCATGTAGTCCTCCACACACTTCTTCAGGGACGCTTCGTTCTTTGGGGAGCGAGGACCGCTGACCCCGCCTGCCGGGGCCTGGCAGCCTCTCGCCCGCCGCAGGCCCCGCCCCCGGCCCCTCCTGCCGCCCTCCTGGTGCCGCAGCTCCCACTGGCCTCCGCCCCGTGACACGGAGCGTGTCCTGGCGTGGGTTACGGGCTCGGAGGCTGTGAGGCGCTGGGCCGGGTGGCCACGACGGGACTGGCCAGAACGGGCCAGATGCTGGGAACCCTGCCCACGGCGGCCGCCGCCTCGGCCCAGGGCCCGTTTCTAGGGTCCCCCGCCTCTCTCCCCACCAGGCCCCACAGCCGCGCGGGGCTGGGCCCTACCGCGCGGTAGCCTTCGATGGCCTCCTTCTGCGTCTCGAAGCGCTTGAACAGCTCGGAGAAGGACTTCTCCACGGCGCTCAGGTCTGCGGCCAGCTGCTCCTTCTCTCTGAGAACCTTCTGGATTTCGGCTTTGGAAATCTCCTTCTGTTTCTGAGCCTCCTCTTGAGCGAAGCGAGACGGGGGCTCTGCATTGGCGGGGCGTCGGGCGCCCCTGGCCTGGCAGGGGGTGGGGCGCCCGGGTGCTCCTCGGCGTGTGCCCCCTGGACACAGGCCCCGGGGACCCCCACCTGCTCCCAGCTCGGCCCGCGCCGCGTGGGGCTGCCCACTCACCCATGGCCTGGTACACGATGCCCTCAAAGCCGTCCATGATCTGCCTGTGGGACGGCAGGCGCTCACTGAGCCGCGGGCACACCCGCCAGCGGGCAGGGGCGGGCGCGGGGCGGGCGGGGGGCCTCACCCCATCTCCAGGTTCCGCGCGCGCAGCTGCTCACACTGGCCCTCCAGCAGGACGCGCTCCCTCTGCGCGGCCTCCACCTGCACAGGAAGCGGCGAGCTGTGACGCCCTCCCCCGCGCGGCCTGGAGCCGGCGCCCCGAGGGGTGCGGGGCCCTCACCGCGGCGTCCAGGTCCTTCTGGCTGTACTGCAGCAGGTCCACGATGGGCCCCAGGGCACACGCGGGCGGCAGAACTGGCACCTGTGGGCGACGGGGCCAGCTGGGCCTCGGGGTCCTCCCGCACTCGCGGGCCGTTGGCGGGAGCGGCCGGGGTGGGGAGGGCGGGGGACACTCACGGCGGCAGCGGGGGTCCCGGGGAAGTCCAGCTCCACCAGTGTGGCCTCCGGCGGGCGTACTGCAGCAGGTCCACGATGGGCCCCAGGGCAC